ACACCACACGGGCTCTGATGGTGGATTCCAATGTTCCTCCTTCACTTTGGCCTGAAACTGTTCATAAAACAATATATTTAATCAATCATTTGCCCTCCAACATGATGGGACAACTCTCACCCTATCAACTTCTATATGGCTCCGCCCATAACACTCTAAAAACCTTCAGCCGTCAATGTTTTCCTTGATACCACCTATACATAGAAATAATTTGTAACAAAGATCGCTACGCTATGTTTTTATTGGCTATCCACCCAACATCAAGGGCTAAAAATGTTTCGAACCAACTACAGGAAAGATGATAATAACTTGTCGTGTTAATATCAAAGAATTTGTTTTTCCCCACGAAGATCTGTGTATACTTGTAAACCCATCTTCCCCATTACAAACCAGCACTCATTCTTTTCTCATACCAACAACTATTGAACAACTCACACCAGATATCTCCACTTCTCCTCTCAATGCGCCAAGCTACCCAGTTCTCATACCTGCTCCAGAATTTCCCCCCACCAGCCAACTTCCACCTCTTAAACCTCCCCCAACTAAGCACTCAATGCTTACATGCTCTCAAACTCATTCTCTTCCAAAAGAATTCAATTTTTTTCTATTACATGATACCTCCTTACAACAAGAACCGAACATTTATAAACATGCTATCAAGCATGTTCAGTGGCAGCACGCTATGGATGAAGAATTTAAAGCCTTACAAAACTAACAAATGTGCAAACTTGTTCCTCCTCCACTTGATCAACTTATCCTTGGAAGCAAGTGGATATACAAAATTAAACTCAATGTTACGGCTCTATTGCCCGCTACAAAGCTCGATTAGTGGCTTTGGGATGTCAGAAAGAATTCATTCTCAACTAGAAGGATAATTTCATCCCTATTGCAAAATTACCTACTATTTAGCTCTCACTTAGCATCAGTATACACCATCAATGGAATATCTTCCAAATGGACGTCTCCAATGCATTTCTGCATGCTCACCTTCAAGAAACAGTCTATATGCATCACCTATCTGAATACAAAATTTCTGCCTATCCCTCTCGTGTTTGCCATTTACAAAATCTATTTATGGCTTCAAACAAACCCCAAGGCAATGGAATACTACGTTCACCAATCATCTACTTAAATTTGGATTCATTCCCAGATGTCCATCTCTCTACATCTACCATCATAATTCTCAACTACTTTATCTTTTACTTTACGTTGATGATGTTAAATTGATCCAACAAATCCAACATGAATCACAACAGCTTTTCTTAATTCGGCCTCTACCTTTCCTGGCATCCACATTACTCATACTGCCCATTGCCATCACCTAAATCAGACAACCTATGTTCATGAAATACGTCGTCAAACTGACATGACAACCTGGAAATCTGTTTCTACTCAAACTATTTCTACAAAATCTTTATTAGATTTGTACGCGACCTTTTCCAATCCATCTCTCTACCTCAAATTATTTGGCTCATTACAATATCTCACATTAACTAGACCCGATATTATGGTCATAGTTTACTCTTTTGCTCAACATTTTCAATACCCACTTTGGATAGATTTTCAACATTTAAGGCGTGTACTACGATATCTTCATGTCACAGATAAGTTTGGGTTACCATTCAAAGTAGGTGACCGTACTCTTCATGCCTATGTTGACACCAGTTGGGCCAGTGATACCACTGATCATTGATCTAATACAGGATACTACACGTTCATTGGTTCTGACCTTCTGTCTTGGAACTTGAAAAAAGAACCGATGGTTGTTAGATCCTCAACTTAAACTGAATATCAGGCTGCATCTTCTGCAGTCCAAGACATATGGCTTCAAAGACTTCTCAAGGATTTCATTTTTTCAATTCAGCTCCTACGACAATTTTTTGTGACAGCCTATGGCCATCGCTTAGAACCTTATATTCTATGCTCGCGCGAAGCATATTGAGATTGACTATCATTTCATTAGGGACCATATCCAGTCCCATGAAATTACGCTTAAGTATGTGTCCTCGGATGCATAGCTTGCTAATATACTTACCAAGGCACTTCCAGCTTCAAGCTTTTGCATGCTCAGGGACAAACTAACAACATCACCATCAGATATTATTAGTTTGTGGGGGCTAATGTTGAGACTGATTAAAGTTTTATATATGTACGAGTCATTAGTTCAAGACTTAGTCGAATCCTTAATCTGTGTTACATTAGGCATATCTTGCTATCACCATAAAAAGTTATCCGTAACTCATTCCTGAATGTATGCAAGATTTCCTTTTCTCTGTAACACTGCAAACGTGACGGTTTCTTCCTCTTCTTCCCTTTCTTTCACTATACCCATTATGACTAAGCTTTTAAGTCCCTTCAATCTTACACATCGTATGTTCAGGATTTAGTAATTAGAGGATTTTGCCCAAACCAAGTGAAATGTTGGATATATGAAGTACATGATTTATGTAGTTTCATAAGAAAACTGTATGGCTAAATTTTGCTTAACTACAAATTATATATTTACCCAATTATCCCTAACGAGGATGCTTAGTTTTAGCTTATTTAACTTATAGTTCTAAATTTATATAAAATAAGGTTAAATAACTATCCATAGTGGCATGTATTTTTAGCTACCAAAGTAGCAGTCATACTCTTGAAATTTTGATTTATGAAAATTTGAAAAGCAAAATTTTGCGATTAAAAATTGCTTTTTGACACATGTTTTTAAGGTGTGGTTAATAATATGATATTTAAGCTCACTATTTTTAAAATGGCCACTTACAAATATGTATTTACATATCTAACACCTTAACTTTCATGTTTACATGCCTGACAGTTAAATCCTTAACATCACATCAAAAATATCGCTACTGCTAACTTCTTAAAAGTGAAATATACCTTTTTTTTATTTATAGGTTTATGACATCAAAATATTATAAGTGTATATGTCAAAGTTTGGATGTTAGACATTTAAATGCAAAAGAATTTTACGGTATTTATGTAAATTTACCTAAATATGATTATAGCTCAAATTTATAGAAATTTTTTATTCAAGCCATTTTTTAGAATTAAAAATAGAACAATTACATAAAATGTTGTGATAAATATCTACTCTCCCAAAAAACTTGGCACAGTTCTTAAGAGAATGAGAATTTTTCTTCAGTATTTTGCTTTTATTTATATTATTTAATTGATTATTCAGCCACACTTTCTTAACACTCTGATTATAGCTTAAAATTTTATCAGTGAGAAGTAGAAAAGATTGTAATATTTTGCAAAACATGGTCATGTACTTTTATGCATGATTCTTATAATGTGTATATGGTGACTAGATTCTTATGCATATAAAATTGCATCTTGTTTCCTAGATATGTATATAGTAATTAGGCATATATCAACCCTATATTTACAAATGAAGGAAGAAAAGCTAGTACATGTGGGCATAGGCATAATAAAGAGCAAATAAAAATACTGCCTAAAGGCCTGTTCAACAAATAAACTAAAAATGTTAAAAGAAAAGAAAAACTCTACCTTCAAAAAGCACCATAACAAACTCGCTTGTATCCTCCAATTTCGATCTCATTTTCATTAGGCCTATATGACACTATGCATCCTTGGGTGTATTCTAGTGGTTGTTAGAACAATATAATGCTTTCATCTTCTTCCTCTGAGATCTGGCCATTTTGAATCTATGGATAGCTGCAGCATATATATGCCTTGAAGGTTACTAGAAGGGTTAAGAAAAAGAAGTATTTTTGTATATTTGGGTTTAAGAAGATCATAAAATCAAACTCTTTTATAAGGCATTAGTAAAGTTGGGAAAACTCTTATATTTGTTAGAACACATCTCAGCTTTCATTAAAGGTTCTTTTTTTATTTTATTTTCCAAATAAAGTGTCAAAACCAGAAGAAAAGGTTGTTTTTGCTCCACCATTCTTGGATATAAACAAGATTTTTTAGAGAAATCTCACTTTTATTTTCTTTTTTTTCATCAATGTATTGGAAAGTAGGCCATGAATGGCATGATGATCATAGAATGAGGTCGTTTAAATGCTTATGATTGATCAACATGAATTTTTGTCTAATGACTTGAAGGACTTAATTTAAAGTGAGAACATATTCATATTTTCATTAGGATAAAATATTGGATTGGGGTTATTATGAACATTTTTTCATGATTAGGATGTGTGACAAAGCAAGTAGATTCACTTTGAGATAAGTTCATTACAAATTTAATCAATAACTCACATGTTATGCTTTTCCCTTAAATGTGATCCATTTAAAATTAGCTCGCTATATTGAGATAATTACATAGAGAGCATCCGAAACATTACTATTTACAAATCAAGCACCGAACCGTTGCATTTACATGCGCCACGATCAAACCATTGAGAATTTGTTAAAAATGAAAAATATTGGTTGGGGATATTTCATGAATTTTGATATTTGCATGAGAAATTGAAAAACGGATGAAAGAGCTTGCTTGATTTGTAAATATCAATGTTACGGGGTGCTCTGTATGTAATTGCCCATCCTTCTCTCTAAACTCAACATAATACAATCATTTGACTTAGAAGTTCAAATCATGATATAACGGCTTTAGGACTTCTTTGGCATCAAATTCTATTTTTTATTTTTCATTTTGCTTTTACATTGTTTTGTTTATGTTTCAACGTAGCCAAAAGCTTCTTTGGTTTTCTTATGAACTTTCTATTTAAAAAAAAAAAACAAAAAACAAAAGCATGTTTGATTTTGTTTTTGGAATTTTGATTGGTTTTGTCACCTCATGTGTTTCAGTATTTGAATACTTTTGGATACTTGGTCAAAGACAGCATAGCTGTGGCTCAGCTGAGATTATAAAATTACTAACAATGATTCTCTTCCATTCTAAGAGATGCTTTATATTTCTGTTCAGCAGAAACTTCTGTTTAATTATAGTTGAGTAATTATGTCTGACAGACGATCACCACAACTGATCTGACTAATGTGGCTTATTTTATTTACTTGTGTGTTTGAAGCATGAAGGAGATAATTGATAGGTACAACACTCACTCGAAGAACACAACAGCAGGTGATCTGCCATCACTTGATTTGCAAGTAAGTCCTTAATTTCTTCCATAATTTCGAGTTCATCAAAACTTATTTTTACTTGAAGCTTCATGTGACTTGGGAGAAGCATTTTTGTGCCCTGAAGCAGCAACTAATGCATGCATCCAGATATTATAATTTCTTAGTGTAGAGTTACTGAAGATGAATTGTGACAAATTAAGCTCTTGATCTCGGAAAGAGAGGAAGAAGTGCTGAAGAGAAATTAGTTTTTTTTTTTGAAAAAAAAATAAAGATAATTGTTGCCAACATGCACTCATATTAAAAAAATTAAAACCAACATTTCCTAATATTTGAAATATAACATAAAATAGGAATAGACATAAAACATGAATAGAAATTATTCTGAAGCTTGAACAAGAACCATTCATGCGTGCTCGTAAATATATTTGCTATAAATAAGTTTAAGTAAACCAGTGATATATATATTTTGACAATATACTTGGCATTTCATACTAACTTTATATATATATATGTGTGTTTCGTACTCAGATTAGTTGGTCGAGCATCTCTACTTGTCAGTTGTACGTCCCCTCTGGTCTGGGGTTCAATTCCCCTTGAGTGTAGGGTATGATACTCAAATTCTTAGGTGCATGAGGGATGACCGAAGTATAATATTATGAATAAATATGGCTTTTAATCACATTATTATTTTATCTATAACACAAAAGTGCTCAAGACTAAAAAAATGCATTTAGTCAATTGTCTAGAGAAGTTTCTGACAATTTTGGCCTTTATAGCTGGAAAATGGCAATTTGACAATACTGAGCAACCAAGTGGCTGAAGCGACTCGCCAGCTAAGGTCTCCTTATTGGTTTACTAATTGTATGAGTTAGAACTCTAATTTTTTTTAAAACAATCTAATTCTATAATATTATACTTGATGCAGAAATATGAGAGGTGAAGACCTCAATGGACTTACAATACAAGAGCTACAAGAACTGGAGAAAACTCTTGAAACTGGGCTCAGTCGAGTTACGCAAAAAAAGGTTTTTATTTCCTTGACTTTATTTTTGCATGATAACCCCCAATGAAGTAATTATATTTCGTTACGTAATTTTGGCATGCGCGAACCACCCTGAAAGAAATTATAAACTTGGTAGAACATAATCTAATGTGGACTTCTTCTGTACAGTCATGCAAAAGTTGTGTTTTTATTCTGCTATATGAAATAAAACTATTGTGACTATATGAAGCAGCTTTTGTTGCTTAATGGTAGCCACATCCCTATGAGTCCTATTCCACATAAAACATAATTATTTAATAAAATCATCCATCCATCAACAAAATTATAATATAAAATTTAAATTTAAGAAACATTTAACTTGATATATAAAACTTAATTAATCACAATTTCATTTTTTTGTTTTTCATGTACCCTCTCTCATCCACTCTACTCTCCTAGCTTTCTTATTGTTTATTCATTCCCTGATATCCTTTTGTTGTTATGTTGTTGGCTAATCCGTTGTTGCATCGCTCCGTTTTGTTGATCTTTTTGTGTAAATTCTCAATCATTACAACAAACTAGCTCCTTATCATCTCTCGTAGTTCATCTCTAACATATTTGAGATAGGAGGTGTAGTTAGAAGGCTCTAGATTATCTGGAAATTTTTTGCCCAAGAAGTTTGGTATACATCTAAGATTGTTGAGTTACAACATCCATGCATTGTAATTAATTTATGAGCATAGTAATTACAAATGCAAATTTAGCAAAATTGCATAGGATAAGAAAAAAAACAAAATCCTGTATGGAGGAAAAGAAAAAACCTCCAAGTTAACACACCCAAAAATAGACTGTCAAAAACGAATAAGGAGAGTTAAGTCCATACGTTGTCCGCACGGAGCTGTTTTTGGCCCTTCGTTCAAGCACGTATAAAGGAGAGCACCATACGATCGTGACACTTCGTTCTCCGTTATACGTGCTTGAACGACGTGTGTGTGTCCGAGTAGGTATGCGTCGGCTGGGTGGTTTGTCATTCCTATTCATATAGGCTAGAATTTCTAGCAGGTTTAGGCTAGAAAGGAGGCCCATCAAACCGATCTTTGCGTATGTTGGTTCGCGGCTGGATACTTTTGCACATTACTATGCTTCTAAGAGTATATGATCAACTTGTCAATATTTGGTGAGTGAAAACTAGGGCATGTGAAAATTATCGGGAATCAGAATCTAAGGACAACACTCTTTAGCATTGGACCTTCTATCTGGCTATTTAGCAGTTTTTCTATAGCTGTTAGTAAACTTTTACCTCACTTTCTTGTATAAACTAAACTGTAATCATATGTATGTATTACCTCACTCATCCTAGGCTTGAACTTAAGAGCCTGAGAATAATGCATGGGCTTAAATAATTTAAATTTAAATCAAAGCAGCCCCAAGGAGCATGTAAGTATATTTATATTTTATAATTTTTTTTCATAATTAAATCAAAAAATTATTAAGTGTTCCGTCTGCTCAAGTGGATTTCCTTGTATATAGAGCGAGGTCCTAAATCACATCTCAGTCAATCTGAATCTTCTATTGATAAGGATTGTAGTTGATAAGACTAAGCAGCTACCTGACTCGTCTGACCCTCATTACAGAGATTGGTGTTAGCAAAGCTGAGTGCTATCGAACAAGCTCGGTTCTCCTCCAGATTGGGACTTCAGTTAATGAGATTTAGTGCTACCTAGTCTTTCTGATTTTCATACGTACAAAGATTAGAGTTATCAACATTGACTAAGGATTAAATGTTGATCTTATACAAAAATTAGGGATATCTTATCCAATGTCCACATGAAGCTATCAAGCTCTTCATAATGAAAAATTTAACTCAAATGAAAATTTTCAATTTCGCTACATTCTCTAAAATGCAATAACAAGCTTATCTCCAAGTCTGATTCTCTACATATGACTTTACGAGTAAAATGCAAAGTTGATTGTGTACAAATCAAGCAATCAAACAAATACATTGATGATGGTTATATTGAATATAAATCTCAATAGAAGTGGTATATTCATAAAATTAATATTTCAAACTACTTTATGAAAATGTTAATAAAATATATCATTTAAAAGCTTAGAGCAAATCTCTTTCACTGTTTACAATTGTTTATTGAGGGTGACATTTTAATTAATTTAAACTCATAGGTGCTAATAACATATTAATTATACTACTACATTCACATTCAAAATAATCTCATACCAGCAAGGATGTGATGAAGTCCTCTAGTTTTAGTGATTTGACCAGCAAACTCCAAAATTAAAGTGATTAAAATTAGATCCATCTGACCAATGATTTAGCCAGTAGGTTTTATTATATTACGGTTGTGAATGTAGCCCTTACTTTTTCAAAGGTTTTCTGAACCTTTGAGTTATTAATCATAAAATATATCTGTAAGGGCATAAAGATATCTTTAAGCTCGGGTTGACTTGAATTCTTCTCCTTAAACAAACATCCACGCTAGACCTACAAAGTTCCGTTGGATGAAACAGCTCGGAGTAGATCGGAGTAGCTGACAACGATCATTATGTCGAGTTGGGTTATCTCATTTAATTAAGTAGACATCATACCATGATAATTTGAGACTATGGAACTGTGAGGTCTTGACTGGGTTTAGCATCCTTGACCCCACAATCCGCACTAAGCTTATAACGATAAAATACATTAGTCTATAATTTGAACTCTAATTGTTGCTACTATATTATGACATTACAGGAATTAACCATATTTGCGTCCGACAGATCAAACGCAAATCAGATGCAAATCTAATTACATATTTAAGGGTTATCATTGGATTTGTGTCTGATTTACGTTAGCTTTTTTTCGACATTAATCTGAGGATCGGTAATATTATTTCTGTCTAATTTACTTTGAAATATTCCTATGCAAATAATTTGTGTCGGTTGTTGTGTTGTACTAGTGTCATATTTGTTTATACGAAACATGCGTTAAAATTTATGTCTGAAAATATCAAACGTTGAATATTAGCGTCGAATAACAGTTTCATTTCATAAAAAAATATCATAGAAGAACGAAATATTATTTTCAATTTAGCATGAGATTTTGCGTCTGTTTTCAGACGCAAATCCGACGCAAACGTGTAATAGAAAAAAAAAATTTAGAATACTATTTATATTTTCACAATCGGCACAAAAATACTTTTCAGATTAAGCATAGTCATGTTATGGAACAAATCTCTAAATAATATCATTAAAAAAAGAAAAATATTATTATAAATCGTCACAAATAAGGAAATTTTACAACAAATGTTCAACAAAATGCTTACAAGTTAAAGAAAACATTAAAAAAAACTATTCATCTCTCTCCTCCTGCAGGGATGTCATCGGCTGCTTGCACCTGCTATCTGCTAAAGTCTCGGTCATGCATGTTATATAGTCCTCGCCACTCTGTTTTCCTTTTAGCTTCTGCTTATACAATCAGCGGATCTCTTCATTCATTGCAGTCACCTGCCTGGAAAGAGCCTCCTGATCTAACAGTGGGGAGCTCTAAGAACTAAGAATAGGACCACGGGAGAGCTCGGTCTCGAAGGCTATACCCTTCTCTCCAAAGTCATAAACCCTCCCCTTCTTCCTCCCTGCCTCCTAGGTCCAATGTGCGTACTCGGACAGTGCGGTGGGAAACTGACTACCACTGCTGTTGGCAGAAGTCTTGGTCTGAGCGGCCAAGTGACTCCCTTGAACTCCCATATAATGAAAACCAATGTTTAATTGGCGCTTTCAACAATTAGAGTCAAAATTAAATTTTTAATGTAAGGTTTTTAACTTACAACAACCCGTCGGGAATGCTCTGAGACCCACTGTGCAGTTCTCGGATGTTGATAAGTTTGGACATAAGCACTGCAGAATGTGGCAGTCGTGACTCTTCATGCCAAATACCTTACCCATTCCCAAATCAAAACAACGACTTTAATTTTAAACACAATCACTGAGAAACTCCGGAGAATTCGCCCACTCAAAAAATTGTCCTTCGTTGATCTGGTGTAAGACATTGTGCACCCTTTAGTTTTATAAATGTACCTCCATTTGTCTTCTGAAGCTCAAAAGTCCTCCTTTTGCAATATTTTTTCAGGTCCATTCTAGCTTTCACATTATCCTTCGTCTTACCCCTGATATCCATCACAGTGTTGAAGTTGTTATCAAAAAAATTCTTCTTAATGTATATAACATCGAGATTATGTCTAATAAGATTAATATTCTAATACGGAAGATGGCAAAATATTTTGTGCTTCGTCCAATTGTGTGTGACGCCAAAATTAGGAAGACAAGTTGAAGCTAGCTTTGGTCTCTCGATGATCTTCGACACTTCAGTGATTATCTTTAATATTTCGACTACAGTAATTATAGGTGGTGGACTTGATCTCTCAACCTTGTTTTTGAAGAACGCATCTCTACTCCTAAATGCGTGATTAAGGTTTAGAAATCTTCAGTGGCAGCCGAACTAGCTGTTTTTCATACCATGTTTCAGAGTAAATGCTTTCAACATATTCATGCAGTAAGGACCAGCCAATTTATGGGTTGCACTCTGAACAGATAGCATTTTATTGGCCAGAAAATCACGAATTATCCATATAAGAATTGCTCTCAATGGAAAATTCTGCTTCGTAACAATGTCATATGTATGCACAACTGGTTGCTATAACATATGAAGCTTTTCAATCAAAGGCTGTAAGTGACGTTGATTTTTCCCTTCGGACTATGTGGACCTCGTATGATCAATTTCAAAAATAAGAACGACACATTCATGCACATATGGGGAGGAAGGGCAAATTAAATGGCATAATGATGACTGGTCGGCATGAGTATGAGGTTGTAGCGTGACTGTATGGAGTGAAGCCATCCACAGATAACCCGAGTCTAATATTGCGTATTTCAGCTGTAAAATCTAGGCAAGTATGATCGAATGTTCCTAGGCCTCACCATATGATGGATAAAATGCCTTCAACATATTCATGCAGTAAGGACCAGCCAATTTATGAGTTGCACTCTGGACAGATAGCATTTTATTGGTCATAAAATCTCGAATTATCCATAGAAGAGTCGCTCTCAGTTGAAAATTCTGCTTCGTAACAATGTCATATGTATGCACAACTGGCTTCCATAACATATGAAGCTTTTCAATCAAAGGTTGCAAGTGACGTTGATTTTTCCCTTCGGACTATGTGGACCTCGAATTATCAATTTCAAAAATAAGAACGACACATTCATGCACATATAGGGGGGAAGGGCAAATTAAATGGCATAATGATGATTTGTCGGCATGAGTACGAGGTTGTAGCGTGACTGTACGGAGTGAAGCCATCCACAGATAACCCGAGTCTAATATTGCGTACTTCAGTTGTAAAATCTAGGTAAGTATGATCGAATGTTCCCAGGCCTCACCATATGATGGATAACTCATCCAGTTAGCATCAACAAATTCATGTGAGGGGTTGTACGCATAGAATCAAACAATATCTTAAGCCAGGGTATGAGCGAAAAATAAATGAGACGATTGTATTTATTCTCTCTCCCATTGTTTGAATTTATGTGCACCATAAAATCGGAAAGTCATCTCAACTGCATGGGCCTTGTAATTTATCACGCACCCATTAATACAGCAATCGATCTTACATTGTAGCTCTAACTTTGAAACCAAATTTTTCATTCTGTACATGTCATCCAACACTAAATTTCATGCAGGGTTAGTCTCTTTCAATAAAGTTGCTACCTGATTGAGTGCTTCTCTGGGCATATTAAAATCAGATTTGATATTAAGCATTCTCAGCGTCACTGATAATTCTATATGTGCAGTATAATTATCCTATAAAGGTTGTTGTGCAACGTTCAGTACGTCAGAATTATTGTAATTCATTGTTCGGTGTTTCAGTTTCATTTTGAATGCTCCCAATAAATTGATCTCTTTGAGCATCATGAATTATTTCTTCATATGTGTCAAGATCAAATTCCTCTGCAGAGGTGCAAAACTTGCTGATGTGTCTCCTTGATTCAACTGAACTACAAGTTCCTTCTCAATATATGCAGTTTAGTACCAATAATTCAGTTTAAATCCCTTGCATTAAAGATCCTACTTAACTTCTTCGAGTGGCAGAAGTGCTTGATTTTTGTGCTTCCCACAAAGACGCTGAAACTTATCCTCAGAAAAATAGATGGGCAGTTGTGATACCATCTACACAAATTCCTTAACGTCGTTTAAGAACTCATCTGCGAGTACTTTTCTTCCTGGATATAATATGTTATGCATTCAAGCTCTCAAATTACGAATTTTCATTGTAGCATAGATATATGTTTACAGATCAGTGAAACTTCTACGTAAGTAAAAATTAGCCAATACTTCTCAATATATACAGTGGATGATTATGTTTAGTAGTTCGTGGGAGCTAATTCTAATCCAAGAAAATGTTCTCAGGAATCCCTTTTGAGTAGCTCGCTTCATTCGGTGAAATCAACACTATTTGGTCAATCATATATAAGATACTTTCTTGAAGTGATTTATTTTTTAAACAATATATGTGATGCATTCCTCCACTTCAACCAACCAACGTAAGTTCATCTATAACACCATCACTGGGAACAAGCCGAGATGCACTCTTCCGGTTCAACCAACCAATTTTGGGCAATAGACCCGATCAATACTTGCATTCCTCCGCTTCAACCAAACAGCTCTAATTTTACCAAGGATAATATCTCTATATATATCACCATAATAAATAAAAAATAGATTTGATGTATTCCACCACTTTAGCCAATCAACGTGAATTCTACTAATATATTAATTTCATACACATATACCACTCAATTCTTATGTATGTAAACACGGAACACCTAAACTTGAATTTTTACATACATATTACTAAACTCTTTATGTATATTCATAGCTAGCTAACATCAAAACTTTAATTTATAGATACATACCACATTACCTATGCATATAACTCAAATATAAATCAAATCTTATGTATGCACACACATATTACCTAAATTGTAATATTTACATGCATACCACTGAGCTCTTATGTATATACTTGCTTAACACAAAATTTTAAATTTATACATCCATACCACATAATCTATATGCCAAAATTAATGGTGATATCACTAAAATCTTATGTACACCTAAATATCAATTTGTGTATGCACACCACATTACCTATGCCAAAAAGACTCATTTCATTTTTCAAAAATTAATAAAAAAAAGATTGGGGCAACTAGCATTATCATTTTCAATGTTTTTCAATTTGAGCAAAGCAGAAGGATGAGAAATGCGGGAGTTTCAGTGGTCTCTGTAAGATGTCTTCCCAGCTAGCTCTGATTGCGACTGTATCATGAAGGATCGTGCGGGCAAGCGATGGTTTCGATCAAAACCTTGAGGGGACGGGGGAAAAGGGTAATGGGATAGTGGAGGGGTGGGGGTTTAAGGCAGAAGAGATGAAGACGAGCGTGTAAGAATAAATGAAATTGAGGCGTGCGGGATATGTATTTTAGGTCATTTTCGTCGGATTTCTGTTAGATTTGCGTCGAATTTAGTTTGTTGCTAACAAGTACGTTTTGCGTCGGTTTTTTAAATGCAACTTCGACGCAATTTTCATCGCTACTCCAAACATGCTTTCGCCATTTTTGGAGGACTTCTCCATCCAATTTTTAGATGCAAAACGGACACAAAATCCGATGTAAATATCAAACTATAGTTTCCGCCGCTTAATGGCCGCAAATCAGAGACTAGAATTTGCGTTGAAAAAATCTAATGCAAATATCGGACGCAAAGATCACCATCTACTGTAGTGCGAGCAATTTGTTCCCCACGGATTGGTTTTAATCAAATGTGTTCTCCCATAATGAGCCATATGGGCTTGAGCCTACAAATAATCTTGAAACCTAGACCTCAAGTTCATCTCGAAATGGTCACAAAATCTTTGGGTAGCGCAAATTTTTTACGCCCGCGTATCCCTTTTTTTCGTCATTATATTTTTCTCATATTCTTTTGTTGGCTATTTCCGTCTCTATTTTCGTCCTCTTAATATTTTAATAATCTAAGTATTCAATGATCTTATACATCTTTAATAAATGCACCCATCCACTTGGTAGCTCGCTCATAGTGTTTGCTCTATCATCATAATAAGAATGTATGTTGCTTATGCACCTACTTTCTCATTAATCGCTTAGAAAATTCACTGAAGACACTTTCTCCGTAAATGTTTTACTTCAAATATACTTAAATCATATATATTCATCCTAAAAAATAAAAAAATATTAATAAAAAAAAATATAATTTTGAATTGTCAGTAGCTTAAATATATTTATATATTTATTTCTATATTTATATTGCCTCTTAGTGATCTAGTCATAAGAGATGTTTAGGTAAAATCAATTGAATCCATCTTCTAAAATATATATCAAGCATCAAATTTATTATTTATATTATCTTTAATTTTATGCACTCTTTACTTGGAGTGATTGAACCTGCATAAAGTGAGTTAATTCAATATAATTTGTGATTCTCGATTGGATTATAAATCTACCATCTGAATTTTTACAAATTTAGAATCTCGTTATAACAATAAGAAGTATTATTTTCATAATTTTCGATGGCTTTAATGCAATTATCTTTCAATTTGATTAATATGTAAACTTGGTAAATATTGTCTGCAGGGTGAACAAATTATGGAGCAGATCAAGGGTCTCCGTAACAAGGTTTTAAGCTCTCTTCCTCCCTAGCAGCTAGATTTAGTCCAGCAAATAAGTGATCTCTTGAAGTTAAAAAATTCATTTTTATCGATTTGCAACACATCATTTTGAATATTTCATGATAATATTCAAGCATTTGCAGGTACTTTCTTTGCAGAACACAAAAATTATTATCTTGCAGAACACACACAACACCTCTTTTAACTTGAGGAAGACTCACAAATTCCAGCTACTCATACTTGACTTGATGATATGTGGAATTAAAACCCAATATGTTGATTCATCCAATTAAATAGTGGCATTTACAATACCATCCAATTCATATGTATTTACATGTCTTGCACGTAAATGTTTCTTTTTATATTTATACCACCCAAATCTTTTTGATATGACCTGGAACGAAAAACAGAGAACAAACAATGGATGTGTTGCAGTAGATATGTGGGAGAACTCAATGGAGGGTTGAATTTAGTAATACCGAGGAAGCAAATAAAATACAATTTGTCTACTGTATTAGAGGTAGATTGTCTCTCCGCAAACCTAGACGCAATTAGTAACACAGAGAGAAGAAAAACTACAGCAAATCAAAACAATAAAAACAGACCTGAGCTAATTAGCTTTATTAAATACTCCCAAAGCTTCCTTCAAACTCTCCCCCCAACATTTCCCTTAATTACCCTCCTCTTGTACATGATTAGCATTTGTGTGGGCCCCAACCAGGCATTGAAGTTGTCCTCAGCATCTCCTAGAGATTCCGTCTCTCGAGGCTTGGCTGGCCGACTGTTCTGGCTGGGTTTGGCGGGTCCAGAGCGGTCCTCGTTGGACCGGTTCGTCATTTGTAGGGTTGGCTCTCCGGTCGGCTTGGGCGGAAGCAAAAAGCCCTAGGCATATCACTTAGATATCACATCAAAATTACCACCATTTTAACTTTTAAAATGTAAATTGCACCTTTTCATGCATAAGTAAAGCACACAAAAATTTAGGTATGTAAATACAATTGAATTGAATGGTATGTATGTAAATCTTCCAATTAAATGTTGATACATGCTGAAACTTATCTTTCCATTTGGTGGAAACACAGGGAATTCAACTGATGGAAGAAAATACAAAGCTGCGTTATCAGGTCTACTGTCTCTTCTTCTCTGTCTCCCTCTCTCGCTTGCTATTTTAAAAAAAGTTCAATCTTAGCAATTTATAAATCGAACTATTTACAATTCCGCAGGTTGCAAAAATGTCGAATGCTGGAAAACAAGTAGTGGTTGATCTAGAAAATGCTTTGCATGAAGATGGTCAGTCCTCTGAATCAGTAACTAATGTTACTCACTGCGGAAACCTTTATGAGAATGAAGATACCTCCGATACATGTCTCAAATTAGGGTAAGCTAGCATTTCATGAAACCTTTACCTTTAATTGTAACAAATTAAAAGTGAATTTGAAATATTTATCAAACCTAGTATTTTCTGAATAATTTCCCAGATGTTTGGATCCTACTCCTTCATATCAACTTTGTTCTTTGGCGCTGCAGGAGTTTTGATTCTTTAAGATAGTTAGCAGGAGCCAAATTGGCAAAATTTATATCTTTTGAGTAATAACACTAAAATATGTTTTAAAGATCAATTTTTTTTGCAAAGTTTGAAGTTTTGAAGTTTGATGCAGCGGTAATGAAATATTTCATACTTTTGTTGCTGCAGGCTGTCTTGCTCAGGCTGGAAGTGAGTGAAGATCAAAGGGTAATGCTGGAACCAGTCTCTCTCTTGAATTTATAGATGAAAAATATATATATATTGGCCTATCAAATTATTAATTAAGAACAATAACGCCTAAACAATGCAAATAATTCTGTAAATGTAGAGATTTGCTATTTTACTTGTGTCATGGTTCGGTTCACATGAAAACAGTACTGGGAGGGGTAACTTTCCAGCTGTCCTTTGCAGTTTTACACTTTTACCCAGATATCTTGCAATATTTTCCTTTTTTTTCCATGGGTTTTTAAGAAATGGTACTGGTTATATCGAACATAATGCTATAGCTGCAACATCATTAGATTTATATGTTTGAAAATTAATCTTTCTGATGAAAGTTTATTTAGGAGTGTAATTATGACAATAATTTTAATATCACTTGCAGATTTAGTTGAACCTCTCAAAATTATAGTCAACATCCAAACCTTGATTTTTTACATTCATGCCACTTTATGCATTGTGTATTTCATTTTTTAAGAGTTTAAATGGTGTTATTTTTTATGTGATGTGAAATATTTTAGTGATTTAAAATGTAGAAAATGCAAAGCTTGTGTTAGATATGTAAATGCATAAGAATTTGGTGGTTTGCGTGTAAAAACCTCTGCTTTATTTTTATTGAGAGATGGGCTTTGTAAATTGGCCTCTTGCCAATAGCATCAGACCATAGCTGTTTTTTTTTATAAACCCCCAAAAGACCTAAGGTTTGTTTGGGAGTGATGCATGTAAATTTGCATGCGTTGTGCGATTATGACCGCTAAAATATATATTTTTATTTTTTTAATTGTTAGAGTTGGCTCACTTTTAATTTTTTCATGGTCCTAATAAGTCACCGCACGCACAATTTACGTAACAGTTTGGAGCATAGGGCTCTCATAAGAGGGATTGGAGCTACTAAAATAAAATTTGAAATTGCACCTATTCAAATGGGTGCGAAATTTTGCAATTAAATTAACTTAAATTTATTTTTTTTAAAAAAAAAAGAAAAAACTATTCAAATGGGTGCGAAATTTTGCAATTAAATTAACTTAAATTTATTTTTAAAAAAAAGAAAAAAAAGAATGAAACCATTATTGTATGGACATGCTAGGGCCCATCACATTATTAAAGACACATGACAAGCATTACAAGGAATAGGAAAACAACAGCACACCTTCCCCAGTCCAAAACAAAATCCCTCAAGACGACACACTAACAACACAAATTTATTACATAATTAAAGATAACAATACTAATAATAACACACTCATACCAAAACCATCCTTTTCCCTAACACGCGCCAATACAAACCAAAACACTGATCAGCATCTCCTCCTTGCTGCGCAGAAATTCGATGATGAATGAAATGGAGTTTTTTTGTTTCAATTTTCCTTTTTTAATTAGGTTTTTCAGCCCCACCATGGATGCACTGCAACTCCACTCTGCCTGAGCTTATCAAAGAGTGCCAAGCATTCCCAATTAGCTCTTTTCGTCCACTTACCCTCTTCCTCCTCCAGCTCCTCTTCCACCTCTCCATTCTTCCAATCGCTCCTGCATTCCAGAAACAACTCATCCACCAGCTCAAAGGCCTCACCTTTTACCAACTCCTCCACCACCTCCGCCTCTGCTTTCACCACCACGTACTCCTTCCTCACGCTACTTCTCAGCCATTCCCCCACATCTCCGCTTCCTCCGCCAGTCGGCGGCGGCGGATCAACTACATCCACCCTTACCATGTCAAACTCCTTATTCCCCGGATACTTCTCCCTAAACCATCCCTCAGCCCCAATTCTACCCGGCGAGCCTATATCCACAAAAACCCTTCTGGGATACTTATCCAAAGATTCTCCGATGAGTTTCGGCAGGTACCTTATTCTTTTTCGATGCTTCTCCACCGCCGGAGGTTCCAGTAGCGCGTCCACTGCTGCTTGAACATCATCTTCTTTCGCTTCGGGTACTGATAAAAGCCGCCTCCCTGGCTTTCCGCCGCCTGCATTACCGTGGTAGAGCTTCTTTACGGCGATGATCGTGCGCCCGATGTTCTGGATGTAGATCATACGGTAATTCGCCGGTAAGTTGAAGGGCTTAACGGGATGATTTCCTAGCCGGAACGCCACTACACCACCGACGCTGACGGCGGGGTCGATGAAGCGAAAATGAGCGTCGTTGAATCCTCCGGCGACTAGGAAGACGAAGTCCAGAGACTGAGCGCTGCCAATCTGCGGGATCTTGCGTTCTGGCAGGCAGTAAACGCCATTGCGCCGGAGAAGGGGCGCGTGGATCCCAGGGTTTCCGAGGAACAAAGAGCGGCCGTGGAGCTGGATCAGGCCGTAGGATTTCATGTCCTGGAGCAGCTTTGGCATGTAGAAAAGCTCGTCTTTGGCGGAATGGCCGTCAATTTCACCGTCATAATCGGAAAATAGAGCCGATCGGAGCCAGGGTAGCGAAAAGAGGACGGCGGCGAGAAACACCGACCGGGCAATTAGACGAATGAGTCTAGGGTCAGGAATTGGGATCACTAGCTCGTCGCGGGAAAGCTCCGCAGCGGCGTGGCCGTCGTTAGTCCGTCGAATCGTGCGCGAGCAGGCCTTCATCGTACCAATTTAGGCCAGAACCAGGAGATCGCTGGTTCAGCTGCGATCTAGAGTAAAAACGAGAAAGAGAGAGAGAGAGCGAGATGACCGGCGGAGGACGTTAGCGGGTGCAGAATCGAGCAGCGGTGTGGTTACCACCCACGAGAGCCACACGGGAGCTTAGGGATCGAAGGGTTAGGAGAATCAGCTGGAGAATTCGCTGGACTTCCATGGCAAGGTTACTACCGCGGTACTCTTCAATTCGGTGGTGTTGATCGTACGGCCCCGCTAATTATGGTCTCCACCGGCGGTGGGAAGGAGGCAGCCGGACGTATTTCCGGACAGCAGTGGAAAAAAGAAAAAAGTGGAATGTGAGTACCGACTCTCCGAGGGCTTCTTATGATCCTGATGCTGGGGACGAAGACGGGGGGTATTTTTGGAAGAAAAAAATATTGTTTTTAACAGGCTTTATTTAAATTTTGGTTTTTAATTTGAGCATTTATTTTTATTTTTATTTTTATGTTTATTTTGGGAAAAAGTGAGAGCCACCCTCAACTTTATTTTAAAAAATATGCCCAGCTTAATTAAGAAAAAAATCAATGATTTACGATTTGAAAACTCAATCTACAACTCATACAAAGGTCTAATTATTGTGGCACGCAGAGTTGTCTGCGCTCTCCGAACATAGCAGCGCATTGCGGCTGTATGACAGTGGGACCCACTCTCATACAAAGATAGCACACTAAAGATGACACACCAATGAAACATATTAGGCACTATAGACACAATAACACTAAAATAACACCACCAATTTCATACATAGCCGGGCAAACATACTCTGAAACAACTTTGCCAAAAACAATCAAGAACACCATCAACAACTTTAGGTACTAGACAACAACACAAGCAAACATGATCTAGAACCTTCAAAGAAAAACAACCAAAATGAAAACGAGAAATAATAACCAATGATAACCAGGAGAAAGAATAATGAAGAAAATACAATCAAACCAAAAGAAACAATAGGAAAAACATCAAAAAGAAAATCATTGTAAATAAATGGATTCAATTAATCTAGAGCTCAGAATTTACTGATAGTAAAACATTAAAGTTCATTACAAGATTTTGGATATAAAAAATATTCAAAACCTAGTTGAATTGTAACGGCTGGAATTCATCAATACTCAAAAATCAATCTTAGAATCAATGAAGAAATGCAAACTTATTAAAGATAGCGATCACAATAAAATAACTCACAAAGAAAATACAAACAACCAAAAAACTGACGACAACTCAAAAAAAAAAGCCGACCAACAACATTAACCAACCAGTCAAAGAAATAACTACTCCTCAAAGGAACAAGCAGTCCCAGCCAACCAGATCCAAACGACAACACGGCAGAGCTGAAACCCTTAAGCCTCAACCAACAACAAAATAGAGCAAAGAAAAACCAATAGAAGAACATATTAAATAGCATCCAACAATGATAAACACAATGGTTGTATTTAAAATGAAATTGCTGGGAAACAACAATGCTTAAAAGCTCAAATCAAACTCAGCAAATAGAAAATATCAAGGATATAAAAAATTTCTGAACGACAACCACAAGATGAGAAATTCCAACAAAAAAAAACAACAAAATGGATTAAACCCACAACAAAAAAACCAAACAACTAAAGCTCCATCATTAACACAACCAACAACAACTAAAAAAAACTAACCTGATGCGTGATAGAAAATTCACGGCGGTAGAGTAACGGACCACCATTGTACGAAAATTCAGTACACACACAGATGAAAGAGAAACAAGCGATGATGACTCCAGAAGTTTTTACGTGGAAAACCTGCAAGGGAAAAACCACGGGGTTTGGCTCAGTTGCGGAAATCAACTATTGATTGTTGATAACAGGAATCCCCTGTCCCACATACGGGAAAGAGAAACTATATTTTTTAGATTACAACGTCGACTGACGACGTCTGGTTGGTGGTGAACGATGGTGATTACTGGTAGTCGATGACAGTTGTCACAGGTCAACAACGATGGGCGGTGGTCGTCCGAGGTCGGCGGTGGTCAATGGTGGTCGGCGGTGGTTGACGACGGAGGTCGGTGGTGGTGCTGAGCTGCAACTTCTCCTTGGCCTCAGACTCTCTCTCTAGACTTCAGCTCCTCTTCATGTGAGGAATGGGAGTTTATTTATAGTGTTCTGAGTGCAATTAATGCAGGAATATCAACCATTTTGATTGGACGGTCCAGAGAGTTTCCTCTGATCATGTCGCGTTTAATGGACACTTGAGTGCCTAAACGATGTCAGAATTGATTGATCTTGGGCTCATTGGATTTGTCTTGTCGAGCCGCTCGATTCGAGTATAAACTTGCCAGTGTCGACATCTGTTTGACCTTCCAAATGTGTCCAGAAATCTTTCAGTTTAATGACTTGATTTGAGCTTGATTTGACTCGAATTGGACTAGCTTTCATATCATTAGGTATGTCTCATCAAGCCGATCAGTTTGACTATAAGTTTGTTGAAATCAGAGCTCTGTATGAATTTTTATCATGATTTAAATGTTTCTTGTTTAAAATATCGTCGTGAAATTTCTGTTATGCTTCGAGATTTGTGTCGGATGATGAAAATTTGTTGGAGATGTATCATAACCAGCTAGAGAACTAATAGCAATCTATATAAATAATCGATCCCCAACAGAAGAAACCCAACAACAATTGAAAGCAGGGTTTCCAAAGAAATAATCGATCCCCAACAGAAGAAACCCAACAGGCAGAGGTAAGCTAAAAATATATGGGCATGTTGTATAAAAAAATTATCTTAATTTATTAGAATTCTCTGTTTCGAACCATCTAAGACGACTCTGTCTAATCTTCTCTGCCATTGGTGCTACGCCAACCCTTTCATAGATATATTCGTTTCACATTTTATCTCTTAATTGTAAAGCCACTTATCCACCTAAGAATTTTCATCTAAATAACACTTAACTTAGTTTTATGTTTCTGTTTTATAGGCCAACAACCAGACATAAAGCATCACATGTTTCACCATCATCTTATAAAATTCTCCTTTAATTCTAAGCAGTACTTTTCTCCACTTCATCTATCCATCTTGAATTCTGAATTCTACTAATAGCATCCCCATCTATATCACCGTCATTTTGAACAATAGACCTGAGATATATAAAATGTTCACTCTTTTTAAAAGCCAAGAGAGCACAAATAGTCAAAAACAAAATATAATCTACACAGCAATAAAATCTACCCAACTCATCATGAAGAGAGCAAGAAGCAACTAGAGACATTCAATGAATCAGTTAATATTAGATAGAATGAGTTTAAGATTACTAGCAAGCAAGATAATAATGACTTTGTAAATAGTATTACATAAGAAAACATATATATAGTTATTAAGACAATTAGTTTCTAACTTTTAGGAATAACCACAATAGTTGAATGCTTAATCCTATGAGTTAATTTGGTTGTAGAGAAAAAATACTTAACAATATTAATACAATCTTTTTCAAAAATATGTCAAGTATCTTTGACAAATTTTAAAGTAAAACAATCATGGTTAAGACTCTTTTCAAAGACAACAGAATGAAAAACAACATTTTATAATTATTAGAAAAAATCATAATAAGACCAACATTATCATTAGCATAAATATTATCAATAATATCATCAAAATCATAACCATGAATATTCAGCAAATCTCAAAAAACATAATTTTGCTATCAATATCATTTGATGATGCGAATTTTTTTTATTAACTTGAATCACCTTCATATAATTGAAACCATGCTTAATTTTAGCTTTTTAATAGTTAAATTTAGTATCATTTTTTACCTTTTGAGAAGTAAGAACATCTTCCCCTTCGTTTAGCTCACTTATAATCACAAGCCACAAAATTAATGATGTCTTTCTGATTTAAAGAAACAAGGAAAAAAAGATCTTTATTATTAGGGCTGCGTTCAAGTAAACACATAATATCATTCTATTATTTTCTTAATTAGTAATGGAAGTAGATAAAGAATTATAAGAATACTAATGTCATTTTTTATAAGCCTTTTTAACAACTCTAAGTTTATTAGCTAAGCAAATAAAGGATCGCCACTGATTAGATTATTTTAAGTAGTACTAACCATAAGAGTAAATTTAGGAAATTTACTCTAATAGTTCTTATACATAAACCTACAATGCAAATTAACAGAATTACTTAAGCAAGCTACGATTGAAGCATGATCAGAAGAAAGGGATAAAAAACATTATAAAAAAAAAGATGAAAATGAACAAAGCAAAAGGAATTAAAAAAAAAACCTATCAAGTAGATATTAGATGGGGTTATCTTGTTGGTTACTAATCCATCTTAAAGGACAACTCAAATTCACTATTAAGCCCTCTAATATTCCAAGTCATAATACCAGGAAAAATCATAAGGACAAGTTATATATGTGGATTACCTCCTTTCAGTCTGCCCTTCTTGATTTTAAAAGGAGAAGGAAGAGAATAATTAGGTAAATCATCTTAACATTAGGAACCACATGTGAAGACTTCAATTGAATAAAGTTTTGAGAGGAAACTCTCAGATTTTCGTAGGAATTAATAATATTTTCATTTGAATTTTCTCCAATAATATAATTAATAAGTAAATTATTTAAGTCATCAACATTTCCACTTGAACAGTCATAATTTCTTGAAGAACTATTGCCACCTATATTTAAGCCAAGAGTAGAACTAGGATTTGTAGGAAACACAACATTATTTACAACATTATCTTGAAAGGCAGTAACAAAAGTTGGATTAATATTCTAAAAATGAGCATAAGCAGGTGGCTTACAAATAATTCTATGAGATCTTTGCAAAGGAAAATTTATATTCATATTCTTCCCTCTAAAAATAAGAGTATCAACAAAAATGACATTTTTAGTATTATTAGAGCAAGAAATAGAATTGTGAGCAAAAGTGGAACATGATTAATATGGAAGCAATTTTCACTCATAAATAACATGCAAAATAATTTCTTGACCTTTAACAACTAAAATGATAGAATTAGGAAGTAAAGAACAAATATTAATCTGAACATTTACCCTTGCAAATGTCAATCTAGAACTCTT